TTTTTTTCAATAGAAACTTCTTTTGTTTTTTCACATATCATTTATTTTAGTTATTCTACCAAATGAAAATACTTCAATAAAAATTTCAAATGTTTCCTATTATGCTCCAGCTATGAAATATTTATTAGATGGACATATGTGGACAAAGTATATTCATCATTTAGATTATTCATCGGAATATGGTACAGTTAAATTACATAATATACTTATTGGTGAAATATGTCTTATACATCATCATATTTTTATCATTCCATTACAACATAATATAATGATAACACAAAATAATCGTTTGATCATACATACTAATGAAATTGAAATAAATATTATTGTTAATCAACAAGAAAACTATTTAAATAATCGTCATATTTATTTTATTGTTGATAGTCATAAACAAAATGACTATTCGAATATTTTAGTTCGATCAATTGAATCAACTAATAAATGTGTTCTTTGTTAAACAACTTAAAGAAAGAAAGAGAGAGAGAAAACAAGAGATATAATTCCATTTTTTGTTGTCGTGTCTCTCTCAATATTATAAAATGAAACGAAAATTATATTCATGAGTTGTTGTTTTTATCTCAAAACAGAATAAAGAGTGTTCTTCAAAAAATATCTTTCAAATATATAAATTCTGGCATAATTGAATTAAACTAGTTTTAACATTTTTGAATTTGCAAATTTTACTTATGCTATAAACTAAATCATTTTAGATTGAACTGTGGAGTACAATAGTGACATTTTCAAATGATTTTTCTATTCCAAATAGTCGTTTAAAAACAGATATTTTACTTCTATTGAATAATGAACTTATGAATCGATTACTAGCATTATGTCCAGGAGCATTTGATCAAGCAATGTTCGAGATGTGTAATCATCTACGTAAGATTTGCCTCTTCTTAGACTTTTAGTGAATGATAATCGTAATCTGAATAAGAATTCTATATTTTATTGAAGCCTAGCTAAATCATTTAAATAAAACTTATAATTATCTGTATAGAATATAAAGATGCTTTTAAAAAGAATATTCACAATAAATTTATTCTTTAATAGAATTAATTTGCTATTATACTTTTGATGTAAAGTGGTGGACATAATTTTAAGATATTTTTGTTTTTGCCCTAATTCAGTCACCTTCATAGGTAGAAACCTGATTCTTTCAGCATTACAAAGATCTTACAAAGTACTATGTTACTTAGAGCAATTACCAAGATCACATTTCACTAGTCGACGTTCTTGGATCTATTCTGTCCAGATTCTTGTTTGTCTTGATTGATCAGGCAAGATTCTTTTGACA